ATATTTATTTATTAGAATATAATTTTTTATTTTTTAAAATATATTATTTTTTAGATAAAAAAAATTGTATATGTGTAAATGATTTGTTTTCAATCTTTGAACCACATTGTTGCATTGTGTTGAACATATGTATGTGGTTGGCATTCTGGAATGCCCTATTCTGAATCCAAAACGAACTGTTTTGGAACCAGAACGGCCTGTCCTGGTTTCAGAATGCCCGTTTCTGCTTGCACTCGTTGGTGTTAAATAATGCATCTGGAACGGCCTGTTCCAGATGCAAAATTTATACACCAAAAGTGTAATCAGAACATGTCGTTCTGATTCCAAATATATTAAAAAAATTTGACATCCACCTATGCATCTACGTGGCATCCACGTGAGCAACAGTTAAATTTGTTTAAATAATTTGAATAGAAATCTGACATCATAGTAATTTAAATTATTAGGACCAAATTAAAAAAAAAACTAAATTGAAATAAAAAAATAAAAAAAAAATATTATAAGTTACCAAATTAGGTTTTTAACCTTACTTTAAAACTAAATTAATTGTTTATTTTATTTAGTTACAAACCACTCTTTGAATTACAATCTAAAGTTGGGCATGAGTTGTGTAACAAATAAATTAAGATCAGGTCATTTTTTTTATGTATATCAGGCAGAACAAGGTATCCTGCCTCAAAATAATTATTTAAAAGAAAATAAAATTAAAATATAGAGAAATGGAAGTTATAGAATAGTAAAAATATATGTAATCAGAATTCAAGAGAGATATGATTAAGACGTTGTGTGCGATCTTATGCACAATACAATAACGCACGTTGCAACGGAAAAATAAATTAACTAACTTAAGATATATGCATGCAACACGAGTATATATAAGGTACTGAAAATTTTAAATAGTTTCTGTCCATGACGTTGAAAACGTTAAACCCTTGTGGGGCATCCTTATATATACAAATAATAATAAAAATATATGATTATAAGGATCGAAGATATAAATTCTAAATGTCAGACAATTAATTTTAGAGAAATTCTATGGTACCCATCTTATTTGAGAGGGTACCGGTACAGTCTTTTATATTTTATATTTTTAATAATTTATTTAAATAATATTTATGATATTTTATTTTTTCAAATTTTAAATTATTTAGTCATTTTATTTTTATTTTATATATTCTAATTTATTTGTAATAATATTGTTATATATTTAAATAGTTTAATTTTAATAATTTTTAAGTATATTTTTATCTTTTCACTTAAAAATTTTGAATTTCTATATTTTAATTTTAATAATTTTTTAAGTATATTTTTTTTGTTTTTGTCTTAAATTTTTGAATTTTTATATTATAATTTTAATAACTTTTTATTTCTACTATTTATTAATTTTTTCCTTTTTTAATATTTTATAATATTATTAAAATCTTATAATTTTAATCTCTATAATTTTGTCTTACTTTTTATTTTATAAGTATAATTTAAATTATTTATTTTATAATTAAATTAATTTTTTAAATTTTTTATAAATTTACATAAAAAAATGTATTAAAACCCCTCAATTTTAGATGGTACCGTAACAACTCCCTTAATTTTATGTATATGGTTGTATCAAAATAGTTCCAACCAAAAGTCATTTTTAACATGGTTATCCAAAAACTTTCAAACCTATTTCTCCTACTCATTCTAATGCGTTATATAATATAACCATAGCAGTTTAATACAAGAAAAAATAAATATAAATTTATATAAAAAAAAACATTATATCACAAAAAGTTAAAAGCTAATTATATTAAAAAAAATAACTTAACAACATGAAACATCATGATACTAACACAAAATAACATCAAAACTCAAGTTTAACACAATCAACATTCAGGATTGCCTTAACACATTGTTAGGCCTAAAACAAATTTTAAGGAGAGATTTTTCTAAAATTAATAATAAGTCTTTTGATAAAAAAAAATTAAAGTTTTATATACAAACCTTGAAAAAAATTGTATATCTTTAGAGATGGACCTTTAATAATGAGCATTTGAGAATATATAAAGAAATTTCTGAGTTATAGATCTTAAAAAAATTATATAAATATTAATGTAAAATATTTTTTTAAAAGGACCTTGAGTAATTATGCTTAAGTCAATCATATCAACATATCAACTTCCAATAACACTGATGTATATCTTAGAAACTCGGACAACACATGTTTAACTCAATATACAACTTGCCAACAATAAAATGTGTCATCAAACATTTTTAATTATAGATATTTTCTTCGACACAATGAATAATTTAAGTAATTTAACCTTACTAAACTTACAACACAGTGTGACCTATCATCTTTAAGTCATAAAACATCACTTAATAAGTATAATAGACAAATAATTCAAAAGAGTTTCTCAAATATCGTCACTTAAAATAAAAAAGTTGAGTATAACCTATAAAATATAAAATAATTTAGATATGGATTTATCATGATATTAGTAGTTATTTTACCCATCATCTATATATACTATATATATATATATATATTAGATTATATTTAGTCGCATTGACCTTGATTTACGTACCATTTAGAGCTCTAAAATAATTTTGTTCATAATCACAACTATAATTGGTACAATACTAAATTAAATTGATTTTTAACTCACACATTAGTGAAAGAATAGAGATGTTTAATTGATTTTAATTGTCTACCTTGAAATACTCCCATTTATTATTGGTGTTATTCTCTAAAATAGACTTACATTATTTTAACAATTTCTTATGACACCTTAAAACTCATAATAACACACTTAAATTTTGTCTACTAATTGTTTTGCTTGACCTAACAAATTGTCTTGTCAACCATACGTAGTTTTCTACATTTTTCTTATAACTTATGAAACATAATTTTATCTACCATTGTATTCTCAATACAAGCTATATCACTTAAAGAAAATACTGCTTTAAAAATCAACTTCTCTAATTAAACTTCTTTTATAAAAATACAAATTTAGAATTTAGGATTTTTAAATTTTTAAATATAATAAGCTAACATAACACTATTGTGATCAGATTAAAACAATTCAACATCTCCAAAGGGATGATCATTGTTGTTAAAATTTTCTTTTTTCATTTTATGCAGTTCCATCAATTATGCCATGATACAAAATAAATTAGTTCATTCCTGATCAAAACTATTCAATCTTAAATGATAAACAACGTAAGATCAATTATAGTCAGTATAGTAAAGGCATATAGTTTCATAAAAAAATGCCATATTCTATATTCGTTGATATATATATGCTTTCACTCAATATTATGCTAACAAAACTAATGGTGTTGTTTCAAACACCGCTCTCCTCAATTTATTTACCGCAAAGCCTACAATGGTGTTTTAAACGCTACAATAATGTTTGCCTAATGATTTGATATTTTCAACTTTGATTTATATTTGTATTAGAACAATATTTAGTTAGTAGAAGTGATATTTTATGAATATAAACTAATGTTTTATTATTAATTTTAAAATATCACGTAAATTATATACATAAAAAAATGCTATAATTATTACATTTGATAATAAGAGTAAAAAAACATCGATATTGAAATTAATACAAATTTTTAAATAAACAACTAATACCTTATTTATGCACTATTATATATCAATCAACAAACTACTATATACGATTTCATACCAATATCATTCTTACAAATAGAGAAATATATCTAGATGCATTCAAACCAAACATCCACTAGAAATTTCAAGATAAACTTAAAGTGTACTTGATTTAAGAAATAAAAATTTAAATAAATACGTTTATTAAGAATTTAGCTTTTAATTGTATTTATTATTATAAATATTATAATATTATAACTAGTGCCTACTTATTGATCAAAATATGAAGAAGTGAAGGTGACCATGGTGATTGTTGGATCCCGACTCTCCGAGCCAGTGGTGATTAACTTCGTTGTTGTATAGACTCACAGATACCTGTGTGGACAAACTAGAAGGTAGTTGTGGTACTATGATGGCTTTCAAGATGAACAAAAAGGGAGAACAGTCACAAACATGAAAAGGGTTCTTTCTTCATGTTTATATGTAATGTTTTGAAATAGGAGCGTTTTCTTATTTGTAGCACCAACAAAAATGGTGGAATAGTGGAAACATTATTATTATTATTATTGAAATACAAATAAAAAATAATTTTAAACCTTATAAAATTATTAAAATTTATTTTCAGTCCCTTTAAATTTATTCGTCATATTTCAGTAAAAAAGAAACAAATAAATAGAGAATATGATGTATATATTTATTTCTTTCTTATTTTCCTTCCACCAACCAAAATCGAGTAAAAATATTTTACTAGCATCGAAAATGCTTTACCTGCATCGCACTTTGAGTTCACGTCCGTGCCACTAACCCGCGAAAATCAAAACCCTCCTTTGTCATAGATTGCAAAAGGCGTAAAATAAAATAGACACGCATACATAGTGGCGCCCCAATGGATCCGATCCAAGCAGCCAATGAGCTCGCTTTCCGGGTCGGGTTCTCCGGCCACAGCGGCCACCTCCGAGTGGAGCCGCTCTCCACGGTGGAGCGTCGCAACCCGCTACGGTCCATTCCCGATTTCATTCCGGTCAGTCAGCGATTCGTTGACCCTTACGCTTTCTCCGTTTACTCCTTTTTCGCTCTCTGCCACGCCACGTGCTATGTCACTCTATCGCTTGAATTCTTACCTAATCTCTCTGATTATCTTCAGTTGCTTTCCCTGCGTATGATAATTATATGTTGCCTCGACTTTTATATGTTCTATCAGATGTTTCAACTTTCAATCTGTTATCTGTAGTAGGTTTTCCATAGGATAGTGTACCGTGTGAAAGTAGTAGTTAAGGGTTTGTATGCTTTTGCATAAGGAATTAATTCCTCACTATGTGGATTGGACTCGACCTTTTTCAATGTTAAGTTTATGACTCAGATTATTATTATTTTTTGTAAGTAAAAGTTTAGATTAAGATAAAACATGATCCTATACCAGGTTAGGACTAACCACTAATCTCTTTGAGGATTAAATTTCCAGAGAGATTGAGGATTGCCTATCCCATCCCAGCCCAAGTCTGCATTGAAGGATATAAATTTGTGACCGAGATTAAATCTGGATGCACTTTCTAATTACATTCTTCTGACTAAACTTTAACTGTTCAAATTTCAAAGTTAATTTTATTTAAATCAATTCTTTGCAACTTTGAAACAAGTGGGTACTGAGATGTTGTGTTTACAAAACCCTAAGAATATGTTTAGGAGTGGAGTTTTTGGGCGAAAGGAATGAGAGGGCAATGTTTTTGTTTTTCAATTCAGAGAGTTGCATAATGTTTTTAAAATGAACATATTAGGGCATTGAGTTTATGCTGATTTACCATTTTATTTTAAGAAGTTATCAAGTTAGAGAATATTTATTAAAAATGTAAATGTTATCCTCCCTTCCCTTTCCTTCCTACTCCCAAGCATACTTCAAGTTGCTTTCTTGCTCGCAGCTAAGAGTACCAATGACTAGCAAATGGTCATTTTCTAAACATTGTGATTATTTTGCTTCGTTGGCATCATAATTAGCTAGTTAGTTGGCCGGGTTTCAGTTTTTACATCTAATGCCTGACACCTTTGACTAAAATTGTGTTGTTGGAAAAATATATTTTTTTCTTCTTTTCAACTTCCTGAGAGAACTTTAGAAGAAGGATTATTTTTCATAAAATAGGCAGTTCTCAGTTATGCTAATATTTGAAGCCAAATTTTGATTTATATTTGCATTGGTAACTTTTGTCTACATTATTTCAGCCACCTGCCTTTCCTAGGGAGACTCCTGAATCTATAAAGAAGTACATAGAAGAGACATATCTCCAGCCAAGATTGGATCCTGATGAATTTTCACCTGAAAAAGTTGGGAGGCAGTGGGAATTTGATTGGTTTGACAGGGCTGAAGTTCCTCTAGAGCCATCATTACCCCGAACTATGGTAGTTCCAGTCTGGGAACCACCGTTTCGACGTTCAAACCATGGATCAGTGAAAGGAATCTGGGAACCAAAATTTGAGGAGGTGGGAGGTGCTTATATGAAATTGCAAATTCCACATCCGTGTTGGAAAGTTTAGTTTAGAGTTGATATTAATTGATTTTGCAAATTCCCCTAATAATGTTGTATTAGGTGGATGTATCAGATCTGACATCAGGAGCTGTAGAATCTGGGTCATTACCACGCACATCTGGAAAGGACTTTGTTAGGGGAAGCATCAGTAATCGTCCTTTCCGTCCAGGAGGTTTGGATGATTCCCGAAGTTTAGAAAGAATTCTTCCAGAAGGTGCTTCTAATGGTGAATGGGTGCGTGAAATTTTGATTGGTGGTCCTGCTCAGACAATTCCTCCGAGCTTAAAGCAAGGATTGGACTTAGGCATGCTCAAGGTTATATATTTTTAATTATTCATTTTGAGGAAATCACTGCATGTTTTGTGCTTTAACTTATTCCTAACTTGAAATTCGACATAACCCACACATGTTGAGTTTTTATCTTTTTTGAAGCCCTATCCGTGCTCCTGGAATGTGTACAAGGAAGCTAACTCACTCAAGAGTTCATCGGATGAAAAATTGGTTAGTTAGTCATGTTGCCACTTTTCATATCCAAGTTTGTAAATATCTGTTATAGTTTATATTCTTTTGAGAGACATTGTAGACCTCATAATTCCTATGGTAGATGGTGCCAGCAATAGGGAGATTGTCAATTTGAGGATTTGCTTGTTTTATTAAATTTAGAAACAGTCATATATATGATCCGCTATCTTTACTTAATTGATTTGCTTAAATCATGCTCGAACACAGAGTGGATTATCCGTACAGTTTGATGACTTATTTAAGAAGGCTTGGGAAGAGGATGCTGTTGGAGAACAAGAGGAAGATGGTATTTGCTTACCTGCAGTTTTTTTTACATATGTTTTATGTCTGGAAATTCTTCCACCTTACTGTAACCAAATGAACCAAACCACTGTCACCAATCAGATGTTTAATAGATCAGACAATTTTTTGTTTTTGTTTTTGATGATTTTGCTGTTTGTTAAGGTCATTCATCAGAAGTGGAGACTGTTATATTGGAAGCTGAAGTTGGTACGGTTGAGGTATCCAGTAAAGCACCTGAGAGTGAACTTTCACTTGATGATATTTTGTCAGCTAACTCGGAAGGATCAAAACTGCATCTGGATGGATTTAGTGATGAAATTGGACAGCAGAAGAGGGAAGTAAGTAGTTATGCAGTAAATTCATCATAAATTGTGCTTAAAATAACACTTTCTTGTTATGCATGATGGTTTTGTAATTGTTTATGCGACAATGTTTACCCACCTAGTGGGATAAGGCTTTTGTTGTTGTTTTTGTTGTTTGTTATGCGGCATTGCTTGAGATAGGAAAGCTGTTCTCTTGGCAGGCTTGGGCTATGCATGAAACCAGTGAGCGAATTGTAGATTGCTTTCAAGAACTTGTTCCTGACATGGCACTAGAGTTTCCCTTTGAATTGGATGCATTTCAGAAGGAGGTATCTATTCATGCTATTTTTCCTCTTATTTGTCATCAGGGTACAGTCACCATACTCCGGCACTTATGATTGAAATCACAAAACCGTCATGAAATAATTGTTTCATGGAAGAGATGCAGTAAAAATTAAAAGCTAAAAAAGAGCTGTTTGATTGCTCCCCTACCCTACTTCTGTCAGGGATGGGAAGTGGAATCTAACCCCTTTAGCCACATTTTTCTGAGCTGTATGTACCTTCCACTTGTGGGAAAATGTCCCCAGGGATTTTTCAAGTAGATGATTATTGGGGTCTTCAATTTATATAATTTGTTGTTGTAATTTTGCAAGATACACCAATGAAGTTCTGATTCAAACAGTTTATTTCACACTTCCATTTAATTTCTTATCCTTATTATGATAGATTCTTTTCTTTCTTCTTTTGTACTTGTTTTCTTACTTTCTATTTCTTTCCTTATCTGGTTTGTTCCTTTGATTAAATTCGCTTTATGAATTGACTAGTTAGAATTTGCTTCTTTTTATTGTTGGTAACTGTTGTGATTAAGGAATTGTGTGTATTGTTGTACACATACCAGTTGGAATGATTTGTCTTTTGACCTTTCAGATTCGCCCAATTGGGTCATATGCATTAGGGGAGGAGCTGCCTCAGCCAATTTTTAATTACTTTTTGTTATAAATCATATATTGTTAAAGAAATTTATGTTCATTTCATTGTAGCTTCCAACTGTGCAGAAGATTATTCTTATAATCAATAATTTTTTCATTTTATTTTAACTATGAACAGTCACCTGTGTTCTATTTAATGTCAATTCTAGCATGAATATGCGACTTATATTTGTCTTTATTGTAATTTCTTTTGTTCGATTCTTTTATAACTATTGTAGGCTATTTATTATCTTGAGAAGGGAGAATCTGTTTTTGTGGCTGCTCACACATCAGCTGGAAAGACTGTAGTTGCTGAATATGCATTTGCTTTAGCATCAAAAGTACGTTGGATTTTTTACTATTGATTTAGTTTCTTTATTTCTTGCCTTTTGCTTCTAGGCAGTGTAATTGCATGAAGTCATGAACCATATTATTCGATATCATTGGAGCGCTATGATTAAATGCAATGTGCTTTTATTCTACTATCCTCATGAATCATGATATTTTGACCCATTCTTATTGTTAAGTTTTTTAGTATTAAAGTTTTCAACCATCAATTAGACTGCAGAACAAGAATGAATATCGTAAGTTGAAAATTTTTGTTTGAAATTGATCAATGCAGCATTGCACTAGAGCTGTGTATACTGCTCCAATAAAAACCATCAGCAATCAGAAATATAGAGATTTCTGCGGCAAGTTTGATGTTGGGCTTCTTACTGGTGATGTAAGCTTGAGGCCAGAAGCTTCTTGTCTCATCATGACCACAGAAATTTTAAGATCAATGCTCTACCGGGGTGCTGATATTATACGAGACATTGAATGGGTAGGTAACTCTCTGGTTTCTCTTAAACCATGAAAAGGCTTGTCCTTGTGAATTTGAAACAACTTATATTTGTCTGTGTATTTATTTTCTGCATAAACGTTGTAGGTTATATTCGATGAGGTGCACTATGTCAATGATGTTGAAAGAGGAGTTGTTTGGGAAGAAGTAATTATCATGCTTCCAAGACATATCAATATAGTTCTCCTTTCTGCCACGGTATAAAATTGGTCCTCAGTTGTTAAGCATTTTGGGTTCTGTTACTTCCAAAGCGTAATTTGTTTTTGCATCTAAAGCACACAGAGCATTACAATGCTGGAATGAATGTTTTAATAACAGAAAAATAAAAAGTTCATTGGAAATTGTAAAACTAGCCTAGGGATATATATGTTATTTAATTAAATTTATTTATCTTACAAATTTATTGTGTCCAGATTTCTATTACAATTTTAATCAGGTTGGGTAGTTTTAGCAACTTCTTAAAATAGGAGAAAGTGAGCCAAAATCTTAGCCTTTGGATGTGGAGAGAGGTAAGGAGGAAAGAAGTAGAATGGATAGAAGCATAGTTGTCAATCCCAGATAGCGGAGCGGCTGCTATTCTAATATTATATATATATATATATATATTAAATAAATAATAATGCATACATAGATATATTAAATAATATATACGTGCACTTGTGTGTATATATATAAACAGAAAAATAATTCAAAATTCATGCATTAATCATTTGGTTGGGTCATGGTTCTGTTGACCACCGAAGAACATAATTGCACTAGTAAAAAAAATCAAAAGAATAGCAAAAATTGCTGCTTTCAACAATAAAGAAAATAAGGAAAATAAAGAAAGGAAAAAAAAAGAAGAAAAGAACGGAACACAAAAAGGAAACGAAAAGAGTTTTTCCAAAGGGCCACAAAAAGAGGCAACATTGTTCTTGTGATAAAGATCCAATCCAACCGCAGTTCTTGAGCCAACAAAAGTGCCTCAAGTTCATCAAGATCGTAGAGTTCTAAATAGCTGGTGACAAGATTGATTAAGGAATCATATTCTTTAGGAAGACGTTCCACAATGACATCAAGCTGTTCTTGAACGATAACAGGATCGCTGTTTGAACAAAGTGCATTTATGATGGCTTTAATGCGCAGAATGTATTCAGAAATTGTTTGATCTTCTTTCTTTGTATTTTGCAGTTCTAAGCATTCTAGATCATGCACGTGTGTGCATTGAAATGATTGTGTAGTTTATCCTAAAGTCTCTAGGAGTGGAAACATCCAATGATGCAAGAAAGAATTGGTTCTATAATCGACAACTGAAGCCAAAAAACGAAGACCGAATCTTGCTGTTCCCATCGAAGATACAAAGAATTTATATTTCTGGCATTGCGACCTTTTGTGAGTAATCATGGTGGAATTTGTGGATTCACCAAGAAAGGATGCAATTGGTACCTTTGATGAATGGCTATATTTGTTGCTTCCATAGGAGAAAATTGTTCTGTTAATTTCTGAGATTGCAAGGGAGAATGTGGTAATCGGAGAAGGAAGAATTGTTTGGAGAGGGAGGTTGGGTAGAAAAAGATTGCATTATGTAAGCCAAGGCTATGGATCACTAAGCTCTTGATACCATATTGGAATTAGAATTCTAACTTAGAGAGAGAGAGTTTGAAGAGAAACTCATATTTTCATTATGATTTATAATACAAGAAACCAAGTATTTATAGTAAAGATTAGAAAATAGAAATGGTTAAGTTATAACTAAACTCTAACAGAAAAGAAAGAAAGAAAAAATACAGAAGGTCTCTATGCAAGAGCCTGCACTTACACTGTTGAAAGCAAAATAAAGCTATATTAATACAAGTATACAACAGATATTCTATTATTCTAACATTAACTTGTGTGGATTAAACAACTCCAAGAGTTGAAATACGGTGAAGATCAACAGATGAAGTTATATTGTGATAATCAGACAACCCTTCACATTGCTTCTAATCCAGTGTTTCACGAGAAGACTAAATATATAGAGATTGACTGCCATTTGTTTGGGAAAAGCTGATGTCCAAGGAAATCAGCACTGAATTGATTAATTCTGATGATCAACTTGCAGATCTGTTGATTAAATCTTTGAGAGGACCTAGGATTCAGATCACGTGTTCCAAGCTTGGTGCATACAATTTATAAGCTCTAGCTTGAGGTGGAGTGTTAAGTTAGACTTTATATATTATCTGTTGTTCAACTTTTGCAAAGCTGTTTTTCAGCTGCAGTGATAGGAGTCACTGTGTTTTCAGACTCTGGTTTTGTATTGTATACTCTTCTCTCTCTTTATATAGACACACACAGACACATCAGTGGGGGGATTAACTCACTGTTTTCCAAAAACTCAAATATTGACTGTAGTATTAATTACCTAGTAAATCGTCAAGCTAGTCTTTAAAAGACGCACTATCAGTCATTGAATATTAATCATTGAATAATATGAATTATGCCTGATGTGCCTGAATGTGCATTTTATTCATTAGTATTTGAATGTATATATTCCATTGGTCAAATCAAATCAGCCCCTAAGTTCCTTGACATGGGGACTAATTTATTTTAAGATTATTCCCATCCTGTTTGCCTTTGGTTATCTCAGCAATGCTACTTGTCATGATCTTAAAAGAAATATTTTGCAGGTTCCCAATACTATTGAATTTGCCGATTGGATTGGCAGGACAAAGCAAAAGGAAATAAGGGTAACAGGGTAAGTGGTGAATTTATCTTACAAAGCATGGTCAATTGAGGGTTATTTAGCCGTTGAAAAAACTGTCAGTGAAAGAGTATATTTAAACTTAGTCACTCTTTTGAAAATGTGCAAGAATACAGAAAGGCTATTTGTTCCTTTTTCAAATTAAAGATTGGAGTCAAAAGAAGAAAGTATTAGGATATGCCATATACTCTTTAACTTGTGACATCCTTCAATTTCAAACGGGGTAATGAGTAGTCTTAAAGTTCTGTTTTTTGTATTTTAAAGATTGAAACTATTATTAGACTGAAATCTACACTGACAGTGCATGAAATAGAAGTTATAAGCTCTTTCATGATTCCTTATTATTTTTTTATCCCTGCTATAATGATCAATTTTCCCATCAGGACAACAAAAAGACCTGTCCCATTGGAGCACTGCCTGTTTTATTCTGGAGAACTTTACAAAATTTGTGAAAGTGAAACATTTATGCCTCACGGATTGAAAGCTGCAAAAGAAGTTTCAAGAAAAAAGAATTTGACTTCTGTTGGTGGTTCCGGAACAAAGTCGGGTATTTCAGCAGGTCATGACAATACTCGAGTTCAAAAACGGGAAAACACATCTCGAGTGAAACATCATGGAGCTAATTACTCTGGAACTGGTAGAGGCCATCAGAATAATAGCAATGGCCAGAATAATTGGGAACTGAGGAGAAAAGATGCTTCAATGTGGTTGATGCTTATCAACAAACTCTCCAAAAAGTCATTATTGCCAGTACGTTGATTGTGTTCTATTAATATATTTTAAGCAAAAACAGTAGATGGAATTCTTGGTAAAATTATTTCCAATCGAGGAACAATTAATTTTTTAGTCAGTTCAAAGAGTGGTTAATGATAACAACTTTAGGATTTTAATGTTTGTAAATTAGAAATATTTTTACCAAGTTCCATGCTTGTAATTTTCCCTTTATTTTATTATTGAGTTTTTATTTTATTTTTATTTTTATATCATTTGTAAACTTCTATTTAGGAGCCAAATCATTATTATTATTGTTATTTTAAAACAAACTTAATTTTGCATTTGGAACATGACTTGGGAGTGCAGGTGGTTATTTTTTGTTTTTCTAAGAATCGCTGTGATAAATCAGCCGATGGTATGACTGGAACTGACCTTACTAGTAGCAAAGAGAAAAGCGAGATCCGACTTTTCTGTGACAAAGCATTTTCACGGCTGAAGGGATCAGACAAAAATCTACCACAGGTCAGTAGGTGTAGCTTTGTGTTTTTGTGACTGAGCTGGGATTCTAATTATGTGATATACAGGTTGTTCGAGTACAGAATCTTCTTCGCAGAGGTATTGGTGTACATCATGCTGGCCTTCTTCCAATTGTAAAGGAAGTTGTTGAAATGCTATTTTGCCGTGGGGTTATCAAGGTGAGATGGGCTTTTTGTTTTATTGACATTCCTGGTTTTAATGGACACCATATTACCTTATTTTTTCTCCACATGGTTGAAGTTAAATTGTTATATGACCTGACCACTTGACTTATTTTTTTGTTGTAGGTCTTGTTTTCAACAGAGACATTTGCAATGGGAGTCAACGCACCTGCTAGAACAGTGAGTCTCTTTTTGGTGTTGCTGCTATAATCAGAGATACATTTTAATTTTCTATGAAAATTTCAATCAAGTCTTATGGCCAAGTGTTTGACTGATCATTAAACTATGCTGTGATGTTGTTTACGTGTGATTGTTAATGCATTAATTAATAAATTTGCTGTGGTTGATTGAGTCTCAGATTACTATGATCTGTATGGATCAACAGGAGGTTACACTTAAACATGCTCTTTTTGAATAGTGAGTTCCCTTTACATTACATAGGTTCTGTTAAATTCTGCTAGTATTTGAAAAATTATAAATAAAAAAATATTTTAAATTGGAATAAAAGATATAATTGATTAGATTTAAACAGATTTAAATATGACATTTAGAAAAAAGAGAAATTAACAATGACTTGAGCAAGAGGACACGTCATTCTTTCAGGGAGGTACAATAAGAAATTAAGCCATTCTCTAGAGTACTTGTATATTAAATAATTAGGGTGCCTGTTAAGTAATAAAATATTGTAAAACATTTATTTTTAATGGGAAGTATAGTATTTAGATCCTATTTGATACAAGTTTAGGAGAGTTTATAAGAGCTGTTTTACTAAAAAATAAAAATAAAGAACTTTTTCTAGTAAAGAAATTCTCGAAAGCACTTTTAAATTGTATTCAAATAGGTTCTTAATATATTGGGATCTCATAAAGCTTTACTATTCATTTTCATTGGATTCTTTTCTTTTTTGAATCCTTAACTGGTGTCTCGAGGGTACTCATTAGTATTTGCCTTGATGAAATAAGGTTGGATAATTGAAGTTCTGTATTAAAATATTATTTTTAATTGAAAAACAAAAGTGACAATTATAAAAAAGTGCTATCTGATCCATCTGCTTATTGACATAGGAAATCCCTGAAAGTATTGTGTCTGACTATGGAATTTCTTTAAACAAATTATTTTGGAAAATTTGACCAAAGTTAGGCCAGGAGCACAATCAGTCCTGTCCCACATGCAAGGGCAGAGAAATGTCTTATGGTAAGGATGCTATGTTGTGACTTGGAGATCACTGATTCAAATCTTGGAAACAACTTATGATTGTGGGGGTAAGCCGTGTGCTGATAGGGTACATTTTGGGCTGTTGGTGAGGGAATGAGTTGGTTAACTGTTTGATTCAATTAATTTGTTGTCTATAGATAGTGGGAAGGATTGAGAGAGGGGGATACCATGTTAATTAATGAGTTAGGGTCTTTTGGCATTGGGAGGTGCATACCCTGGAAGCTCTATGACCATTCTGTAATCAGGGGAATTCCCCCATTTTCTCACTGAGATATTGATTCCTTTCGGCATCTACCTTTTCCAGACTCCACTTAGGGTGAGCCTTGTGCACATGGTACCCCTGTTGATATAGTTACCTCTATAATTAGTTTTGCATCATTATTTTTTTTTATTTTAACCAATAAGTAAGAATGATTGATTACTTCTACATTTTTTTTATCTCCTTGCTGATGTTTGTAGAAAAAAAAATCCTATAACCTTTAGTTTCAGATATGATGCAGTTGATGTAAACTGCTATTATATTCTTTTGCAGGTAGTCTTTGATACCCTCAGAAAGTTTGATGGCAAGGAATTTAGGCAGTTACTACCAGGGGAATATACTCAAATGGCAGGTCGTGCTGGCAGAAGAGGACTTGATAAGATTGGTACTGTTATTTTGATGTGCCGTGATGAACTCCCAGAAGAGAGTGATTTAAAGCATGTCATTGTTGGAAGTGCAACTCGTCTTGAATCTCAATTTCGGCTTACCTATATTATGATTCTACATCTTCTTCGAGTTGAGGAATTAAAGGTGCACATAGAAATTATCCGAGTAATTTATCTAAAATATTAGAATTGTTAAAAGAGAGAGAATTAGATGCAAGAGATGCTAAAACTGTGTGTATAATCTACCCAACAGAGTCTGTTTTATATAGGTGGATTGCAAATTTGCAATAAATACAAATAATTATAGGAAATTAAATTCCTATATACATGATATGATATGCCTATAAATCAGATTCTAATAATATATGTCTATAATTACAAAGATCGTAATTAAATAAGGAAATAGTCATAAAATATAAAAGAGAATAAATCCTAAGAGATCATCTAGGGTACTCTAAAATGCCCTAAGATATAAAAATGATGTCATCAAGCATTTTTCAGATTTTTTAACAATAACAATGGTGATAAAAACAATAGAATAATTAACTGTTACAATAATTGATTGGATGGACGGCTCGGGGACAATTCAAATTCCTTTCCAATTTGAGATAGATATTCTTAATTTAAATATATGGTTGGATCTGATATGAAAAAATTCATGAATAATTTCTCTAATTTAATCATCAACTGATCATCCGTTCTGAAAAGGTGAAGATCTGTAAATTTCATTCCCTAATTCAAATTTAACATGTTAAATAGTTGTATCTCAACTTCTGAAAGCTGCTTTTGAACATGTACTCTTGAAAATCTGATTGAGAGACACTTGTCAATAATAATATCTTGAAAAGGAAGTCAGATGAATTTTTATGAGGCTGCTGCAGTTGGTTAAAGCTTTGATTATGAGGCAAAATGAAAGACTTGATGGTCTAACTAGGTCTGCTTCAATAGATTTAGGGTAATTTACAGATTGAAGAATCAGATTTTTTAGTTAAATGAATGAACAATAGTCTGGACTCTGGTCTAGAAAGAAATCTGAATAAGGGTTTGATACCAAGAAATCAGTTACAGATTATAAGAACATTCTGGATAGCCTGGCTATCACAAAACCTACTTTGTAATTTCTTAAATTATATATATTTATCCAGCTGATGGCTATGTGAAGTTCTTGGCTTTATGCATTTATAAAGAATTGGAATAGATTTCTGGATTTAAATCATTTAAATAATGCTAAGGGAATGAATTATGATTTATGACTGCACTATTCAGTAAAAGTGTAAAACACCAACTTTGCATCAAAGTGCAATACAGCCTCAACCATCAGTCCATCACAAATATTATTGAAATACTAAATTAGCATCAAAGTGAAAGTACTAAATGCTGTAGGGAATTTCATTTTATCTTGGCAATTTGAACTCTTAATAATTGTTACTAAATTGATTGAGATATGGGTTGCAGGTAGAGGACATGCTTAAAAGAAGTTTTGCGGAATTCCATGCTCAGAAAAAACTTCCAGAAATGCAACAGCTGTTGAAACGAAAGCTTGATCAGCCCACAAAGGCTATTGAGTATGTCAATTATCTAATCCTTTTTAATATTGAGTTTCAGGCTTCGGTTCTGCTCTTCATGATACAATCTTGCTGTTATTATGGTGTTCTCTTGTACTTTTTAGTTTTTAGTTGTTTGGGTGTCTAAATGAATCTGTAGTCGATGATCACCTGCTTAGTTATTCAGATATAAAACCATTTATGATGGGGAGCTATAGCCAATGCTATATATAAAACCATTCACAATCTTTCATCTAGTAGGTTAAGCTTTTTGGGAGAGTTGACATGAGAAATGTTTTTTTCCCTGTGTGATATGTTGGTGATTATTTGAAGTTATAGTTCCTCCATTTTGTTTCATAATCTTTCATCTATTAGCCAAAGCTTTTAGGGAGAGTTGACATGAGATATGTTTTTTTCTTGCCTCTGATATGTTGTTAATTATTTAAAGTTATTGTTCCTCCATTTTGTTGACTTTTTATGAGCACCCAATGACAGAAAATGTTGATGTAGTGCTTCTGGATTAATGAAAATATAGGACAGAATAATATATATTGTTGTAGAGGTTTTCAATTATAACATAAACAGTTTGATGTGCTACATCATGTAGATTTAATTTTATGCATGATGGAGGAAAATATAGTTCATTTAATTTGTATAGTGTTAGAATAGTGGATTAAAGCCTAACTCAACCCTACAAAACCGGCTTGTAAGGTGAGGGTTGCTTTCCACTTATATACTATTCAATTGCCTAATCTCTAGTCGATGTGGGACTTGGGTTTTTCCCAATACACCCCCTCACGTCCAGCACTATTGGGCTTGGTACGTGGATAAATGGTGGGTGACCCTTTTTAATGATCTAGGATTGGCGGGACTTGAATTTTTCTCAATACACCCCCTCACGCCTATGAGGCATGCATCAATGGTGGGTGACCCATTTTTAAAGTAGATCTAAATGGCTCTGATACCATGTTAGAATAGTGGATTAAAGCCTAACTCAACCCTACAAAACCGGCTTGTAAGGTGAGGGTTGCATTCCACTTATATACTATTCAATTGCCTAATCTCTAGTCGATGTGGGACTTGGGTTTTTCCCAATATATAGGATATTGACACACAGGATTTTTTTTTATAATATTATTATTATTATCTGTCTGTAATTGTGCAAGTTAAATCAGATTTGGTCCTTTTGTCACCTCAGATGGAGGAGGTATCCCTTTGATGAGATCTCTTTTAAGGAATCTGATTAATTTTGGGAGATTCATGATGATCAACAAATGGAATGCTATCAGTATTAAATGTTTTATTTTTTGGGTGTTGCATACTTGTCTGTAGTTTCTAAAGCATTTTATGTTTTTATTCAGATGTATAAAGGGTGAACCAACCATTGAAGAATACTATGATTTATATTCAGAAGCTGAGTCATATGGCAACCAAATATCAGAGGCAATTTTGCAGTCTCCTAGTGCGCAACAATTTCTCAATACTGGAAGAGTTGTAATTGTAAAATCTGAATCAGTGAGTTCTCATGTTCACATTTTAATTTTACGTTTGTAGCTGTTGAAATAGTGGTAAAGATTTATATGCCATTAGGAATTATTGGAGTAATTGGATCATTGGAAGTATTTATTTATTTATTTATTCTTTTGAGTATATGAATATCGACAATGCTGAGTTCTACTTAAGTGCTTCACAATCATTTTCATAGCCTATTCTCAAATCTTGGTTTATTGTCAAGTTGGTATCAGATCAGACTTGGTCCTTTGCTCTCAATCTCCGGGATTAGCCATCTCTAGTCCAGCACAACACTTAATCTCTTAAAAAGTCTGTCAGTCATGTCCCTGACATTTAACTTAGTAGCTTTTACTTAGATGTCAGGGACATGACTGACATCTAATCCAACAATTTGTTGATTAATACTTTAATCAACAAATCTACCTATGCCCTGATGACCACTTCACTCTCTGCACGTTAATATTGTCACTGTGCCGCCTTACCAATTACGGTTCCTTGAGAAAGTGGTCCTGCTCAAATTGTTGGCTTCTAGTTGTCTTTTATCTGATGGTTATCTGTTTGAATCTGATGCTGTTTTGAGTGGGTTCAAGTCTCTTCCTTTGTTTCTCTGCTGAATGTACAACACCTGTAGTTATGAAGAAATGGCCTCCAGTGAGTCTCCCAGTCTGTCTGCCATTTCAGTCAGTCTAGATGGAAAGATTGATCATCTTCAAGCACAAATCCAACACGCCTTTCCTTTTCCCTCCTTACCTATATAACAGACTGCGTCATCTTTTTTCTCTCTTTGTAACTAACTCTTCCCTCCCCTATTTCCCACCTAAGGTGATTCTAAGTGTGGCTTGTACATCTGGGCTGTGGTCATGAACCTTTCATTAGCCATGGCTGAACTCGAGGAAACAAAATTTTCCTTCATGGAATGGAAGTGATTGAATGTAAGCTTAGCTTGAAAATTTTGTTGAAATGTTGAATGCCTAGCTTTGTAATATATGCTTTATCTCATTCATTAAGATTTCACTTACATCTTTCGGATAGTTGCAAGTATTAGAAGACTGGACCTAGTTTGATGGAGATGCACTTTGTATGTTATAAAGATATAATTGCTTTACGCCCTTTGTTCCTTAAAAATTTTTCGGCCATATATTTTAGGATATACTGTTTGAGTTATAACATGTCCATTTATTTATAATGTGAATCTTTATTGTGTATTGAGCTCTTGACACAGTAATAGATGCTTAATCTGTATCATAATTGATTTACAGGCACAGGACCACTTGCTTGGAGTGGTTGTGAAGACTCCTTCTCCAAATAATAAGCTGTACATAGTTTTTGTGATTAAACCTGACATGCAGTCCTCAGTGGAAAATGCCTCTAGTAGCAGTAGTTTGCAGAATAAAAGCGGTGCATTTGACCAAGGTTATTTTGTAATGCCAAAATCAAGACGTGGTGTTCTAGATGAATATAGTACATCTGTTTCTTCTCGCAAAGGAAGAGGCGTCATCAATATCAAATTGCCCTATTGTGGCTCTGCCTGTGGAATGGGCTATGAAGTCCGAGAAGTTGACAGTAAAGAGTTCCTGTGCATATGCAGTAGCAAAATTAAAATTGAACAAGTTGGACTTCTTGAAGATGTTAACAGTTCTGTTTATTCAAAGACTGTTCAGATGCTCCTGGATTTGAAATCAGATGGAAATAAGTATCCTCCAGCTTTGGATCCTGTGAAAGGTATTTTACCATTTTGTGGTTTAAGGATAGTTTATATTTTAATAATTTATGTACTTTTTTATGAATAACAAGTGGATCATGTTTGGCCAAAGGAAGGTTTTTATTATAATGATAAAAAAGAAGAAAAATAATTATAGTCTTGAAGAGGCATGATAACATTATAGAAGCCAATTTTTAATCAAGTGCTTTCTAACATTCTCGCAGTATTGATGTTTCTAGAGTTCAGGTGTTGCCCGTACTCTATACTCCGTTGGATATAATAACTTTTTTCTTTTCTTTTGACACTTGGGTATCCTGCTCTGATTTTAAAACCTTGATATAAGACTATTGCCTTTTCAGATCTGAAGTTGAGAGATGTGAAACTTGTGGCAATATACCAAAAGTGGACTAGACTATTGGAGAAGATGTCCCAGAATCACTGTCATGGGTGTATAAAATTGGAAGAACACCTCAAATTGGCGAAGGAGATAAAAAAGCACAAAGAAGAAGTCTATGCTCTTCAGTTTCAGATGTCAGATGAAGCACTTAAACAGATGCCTGATTTTCAGGGCCGGGTATAAGATGTTAATCCTTTCTAGTTATGCTTGAAAAAGATATTTGATATTTTGTTTCTTTTAGTACCGTCTTATGATGCCTTTGATTTTGTTCTTGTTACGCTTCTTCAGATAGATGTTCTGAAGGAAATTGGATGCATTGATGAAGACCTCGTTGTTCAAATGAAAGGTCGTGTTGCTTGTGAGATGAACTCTGGGGAGGAGCTGATATGTACCGAGTGCTTGTTTGAGAACCAAATGGATGAACTGGAACCAGAAGAAGCAGTGGCGTTAATGTCAGCTTTTGTGTTCCAGCAGAAGAATACGTCCGAACCTTCACTCACACCCAAGCTGTCTGAAGCGAAACACAGGTAACTTGCAATTGTTTATTTTTTTGAAATACCCTTATAACATAAGCCTAGTAAAACCCTCGATAATTATTTCTATGACAACATACTATATGAGGTCGTTTTGTCTACCTGCCGCTTCAAAATTCAGAATGAAATCAGGATATGAATTCTAACTTGTATGTATTTGTTACAGATTGTACAAAACAGCCATAAGACTTGGAGAGCTCCAAGCGCGGTTTAATCTACCAATAGACCCTGCTGAGTATGCCCAAGAAAATCTCAAATTTGGTCTCGTTGAAGTGGTTTATGAATGGGCAAAGGTTTCTTTTACCTGAAAATAACACTATAGTTCCATACTTCCATCATTAATTTCTGGCGTTGTGAATAAATCAATCTTTTTTTTATTTTTTTAATGCAGGGTACTCCGTTTGCTGACATATGTGAGCTTACTGATGTTCCTGAAGGCCTAATAGTAAGGACCATTGTCAGGTTGGACGAGACATGTCGGGAGTTCAAAAATGCTGCAGCTATTATGGGTAACTCTGCTCTCTGCAAAAAGATGGAAGTTGCTTCTAATGCAATAAAGCGTGACATTGTATTTGCAGCTAGCTTGTACATTACTGGCGTATGATCATTAATCTTGAACATGCTAATGTTTATTCGAGCTCTAGGATAGATAGATGCATATCGAGTGATTCTTTGTATATAATTAATTCCTTGCATAATTTCTGTGCTACTTAAATTTGCAACTAACCTTTTCTTCTTGTAACTTAAATTTTTCTTTTACAATCTTTTTAGAAAGATTTCATTGTTGATCTCGTCCTGGGGAATAATCGTTGGTCACTTAGCAGTTCACTATGTTCTATTTTATTCATGTGGTTTTGTTAGAGGATGTTAACAAATTATAACTATGATTATCTTAAAATACACTAATGGTGTAGTTTGTTAATACAATTCAACTAAAAAACAAGGTGTACACTAGCAAATACCTTTAAAAAATTATGCGAATTTTTTTATTGATGTGATTTTTAAATTTGATCGTGTATATATTTGATTGTGCAGTAAATTTACTTTTGATTCTCATGTAAAAATGAATCTCTTGTTAGATATATCCTCATCTCTTCTCTCTTCTCTCTCCATATATATGTGTGTGTGAGAGAGAGATTTACTTATTTTTGTTTTACATTAAATTTTAATAATTTAATTATTAAATTAAAATTTTCTAATGCATATTTTGTGAAATTATAAAAAAGTAAAAATTATTTGATATTCTATTTTATTATTTTAAATTAGTGAATAATTATACAAATATTTTATACATTGATTTAAATTAATGAAATGAAGTATCAAATAGTTTTAAAATTTTATAAAGTTGATCTATATATTAAGAATTTTTAATTTAATGATTAGATTGTTAAATACAAATTATTGAATAAAGTAAATTTAAGTAGATTTATTTCTAGAATAAGTGAATTTTTTTCTCATATATATATATATATATGTGTATATGTGTATATTAACTTATGTCTACTTGTTTTTTAAGAATAAGTTGACAAATTATAACTGTAATTTTTTTTAAATGTACTCGGTATAACTTGTTAACTTACTTCGATTAAAAAACTAGTGTAAGTTAGCAAATGCTCTTGGAGTTTGCTAACATGACCTTACTTTTGTAGAAAGTATTTTAACAAGTTATAACAATAATATTTTTAATATGCATTAAAGTATATCTTGTTAACTTCAATTAAAAAAATAAGTGAGTGCATGCTAGCAAACCTAATAAGCATTTAGTATTAAATATTTATGCCTATAATTGAAGGCACTAAATTTTATTGTAAGTTTAATTTTAATACATTATTAGTATAAATATTTATATTATTAACTAATTAAGAATTATTTGACTTTTAAAAACTTTATTATAAAATTCAATAATTTTAATATACATGACATTCTATGAATACATGACTAAAAAATTTATTACTCATGTTTTTTAATTAAATTATTATTGTGATCACTAATAGTTCAAAGTTAATTAGAACTAGTATTTTAGCTTATGCATTGTACAAGCTAAATATTTATTACATATAACTAAAATTTATAATATATATATATATATATAATGTTTGAATATATAAATAGAGTATAATATTATTTTATTTATTGATAATTTATTTGAAAATATTAAAAGTTATATTAATAAATAATTATGATAAATAAAAATTAAATTAGATAAAAAATTAAAAAAATTCTTAAAAACCCTTTTGACCAAGAAAAGCTCTAAAAAACTTGTGTTAGAAAGAGATTGTGTTTAATATCTAGAGATTATGTTTATTATATTCTATGTTTTAGTATGTGTAATGCACAAGTTAAATATTTATAATATGCACTAAATTTTATAATAAAACAAAATATATAAATAATATTATGTTTCAATATATAAATCATATTTAAATTTTGTATAAATAGATACTTTTAAATATATAAATTATATTTAAAATATATGATAAATAATTTTATATCATAGCACAATATTATTTTTATTCATTGATAATTTATTTTAAAAATATTAAAATTTAATTAGTAAATAGTTAGTATAAATAAGAATTGAATTAGATTAAAAAGTTTAAAGAATTGTTAAAAATACTATCGTTAAAGAAAAGTCCTTAAAAATGTGTTAGATGTTGATATTTAATATATAGAAGTTGATTAAAATTTATAATAAATTATATATATATATATGCTGTATTTGAATATATATATTATATTTAAAATTAATTTACATAAATGTTTTTAAATATATAAATAATATTTTAGATTTATGATAAATATTTTGTATTATAACAAAAAAAAATTATTAATTAATTATTTTAAAATGTTAATATTTAATTCATGAATAATTATGATAAATAAAAATCAAATAATATAAGAAATTAAAAAAATATCTACAAACCTTCTCATTGAAAAAAAAAACTCTCTAAAAACAATTTTGTGTAAGATAAAAATTTATATTTAATATGTTGGATTATAGTTAATTTCCTTTTTTGTTTTTTAAATGCTAATTAAATTCACATGATCAATTTAAAAATTCAATTTTCTTTTTAAAATTGTGCTAGTAACTATTCATGATAAAACTTGACAATTAATGTTTTTTCTTTCTCATTTAAACATAATTTAATTAGTAAGAAAAGTTATAATAATAGTAACGAAAATTAAACTTAAGTTCTCATCTATTATGACATTTCTACTACTAAGTTGATCCGGTTAGTTTAGAAAACTCTCGTTAGATACATTTCACATATACACAATCAAAAGTACAATAAGCACAATTTTTAGATTGAGTATAAAAAACATATATCTACAATTAAATCCTTATGAATATTCAAGATCAAAAGATGACAGTCACGGACTTTTAAAATTTCGACCCTATTTACTATTGATTATTGTATGATGGAAATTTGTTTTAGTTTTTTTTTTTATCCCTATATGAAGAAAATTAAACTACTAATTTTGATGAAAACTAAGATAAGTAAATAAAAACCAAAGAAACATACATTTTCTCTTACGTCAAGAATAAAACAAAAAACAAAGTTTTCAATAAAAAGAGAAATATTATAGCATTTTTAAAAAAATTATTATTGAATAAATTTTATATAACTTATCTTAAATAAAAAAATATGAGTTTTATTTAATAATAAAAATATATTATAGACAGTTACAAAAATAAGAGAAATATTTGTAATTTATTTTAAAACATTTATTATCACTATTTTGTGATATTATGTAAGTTTGACTAGTAATGGAGGTTTTACTTTATTTTAGGAGGGTTCACTTATGATTAATCTAACTGACAATTAAATTGATTTAATTTTTTTTTAAGTTCAATCGGAATCAAACGAATTAAACTTAGGGGTGTATTGGTTTAGGATTTCGTAGGATTTTAAAAGATTTTTTTTAGTAAAAAAGTTCAGTGGTATTCAATCAGGATTTTATGTCACTTAAAAATAATCTAGTGGTATTCAATTTGGATTTTCAAGATTTTTAAAGAGTCCATTAAAATTCATTAGTATTCATTTGAGATTTTTTACAACTTAAAATCAATCCATTGGTATTTAAAAATATAAGGATTTTAAAGGATTGTTGTGTTAGAGGGATTTTGAAGAACTTTCTAGTATTATTTATAAATACCAAATTCATAAAACAATCTCATCCAAACCCATCGGATTTTGAAGGATTGTTTGAAGTGACTTTTCAAGTGTTTCAAGAATTTTCAAGTGAGTTTTTCATTTTTTTTGTGCTCCTGTCTTCTCCATTTTCTCTCTGCTAATAATACTGCACTACTATTCATTGGTCATATATAATATTGTAGTACTTTTCTCATTCCATTCTCCTATTTTGTAAAACTCCGATATGTAAATGATAGTATCATTGACTTGCTCTATTTTTCTGTTCGTTCTCTTTAATTGACTTGCTCTATTTTATTCTATTCAGTTGAATTTGTTTCTTTATATATAACACAAAAAAATGCTTGAAATTTTAACTTTTAAGTGATAATTTTTTTTATAACACACGTCAAGAAAAGAAAAAGGTGAAAGATGAAATTAATATCATGATCTTTACAATATATATACATATATATATATATATATATATATATATATATATGAAGAGTGT